CTGATGGGAGGACACCTGGAACAAATTCCATGAGGAATAAGGTAGGGAGGAATAGGCCAAGCGAACCAAATTGGTAAGGGTAGATGGTGAAAGATAAAGAGTCAGGAACATATACCTCAGAAGGAAGTAGTAACGGCAATAGAAGAACAAAGAGCCGTAGTCAGGCACAGGTGCCTATCCAGATCCAGTCGAGGGTAAAGATGGGAAATGGATGGAAGGGAAACAGGAGAAAAGGAGGAACAACCTTCCCAAGCTGCCGAGGTTTTCGAAAGAAAGGAACAATCTGGATAAAGGAGAAGATAGGTAGGGTGATAAGGGGTACGTGAAATATCAATGGCAAACAAATCAGACTAAGAGAAGAATGAAATATGTTTTATGGGAAAGATGAAACATGGAACACGAGGAAAGTGGTTCAAACAGAGGTAAAGTAAGGGAATGGAGGACAACATTAATATCCCAATCCAGAAGGGTATATATATCGCATGGGAAGAGCAATGTATCTGGAAAGAAATCATAATCATGATAAGGTTTTGAGAAGAACGAAAGGTATGGGATAAGGCCACTCGATATCCTGAGCGCAAGGAGACTGAAGACCCACAGTCAAACATCCAGGCCACACAAGCCACAGTTGGCCAGTCATCAGGAACACTCTAGTTGTAGACCAACAATTGAATACCTTCCACTTGCACTGATATACCTCCATGGAAGATGGACGAATGTAACCAGCTAATAAGTACACTACTCGACATGTGAAACCAAATCTTCTCACCATGGAACAGAAAAAAGCCAGGCATGAAGACACAGGATGTACAGGGTGGGATGTAGGACATGTGACCAAGGTTGTCAAAGAAGGTAGGGAGAAAGTGGAAGAGGGATAGGAGGGGACAGAAGCAGTTGCTATAACCATGCAAACCAAGGCTGTAGAAAGACCATCCACGACCAGATTGAAAGCACATGACATGCAATAAGATGAATGTGATGTGCATAGAAGCAGTATAAGATATACAAAGTCTGAAAATAGAGATCTCTGGACCAGGTGCCTCCTTGGTGGTTGATATGTGTCACCACCATAGAATTGTCTGAATGAACCATAAAAAGAAGGAAGTGATGCAACACCTGACATACGGCTAGAATTTTGAGAACATAGATATGCAAAGTGCTTTTGTCCGCAAAACAATGGATCAAAGGCTCCTGGTGATTGATCCATGGTCCTCCAATCCCTGAAGGAATGTGTACATGAAAATATGTAAATCTGGACACATGGGAGGAAGTGGCACACCTACCGACGTATGGGCTTTGTCCAATCACCAAAGCAGATCATCTCATAGAGTAAAAGGAAGGATAATGGGGGATCCCAAGCAAAATTCCAAAGATCATGAAACACCCACTGAAGAGATCTCATGTGGGCACGCCCGAGGGGAACCAGTGATGACCACATCCCAAAAGTGATAGAACCTCGCAAGCATTAAGTGACTGAGCTGAGAGGGCATGGCAAACCAACAGTTCCATTGAACATAGTCATAAAGGAGAAGGCTGGGCCAGACTGATATGAGTGTTGAAAAAGACCCCCAAATAGACAAGATATTGAATGGATCTGAGGAAAGACTTCTCCAGTTTGATCAACCAGCCCACCCAAGCCGTCACAGAAAGGAGCTGCCGAGTATGATTGCCGATTCCTGTTCAGAATGAGCCAGAAAAGCCAGTTGTCCATATAATAATAAAACCCCAGCCCCAGATCATGGAGATTTCGAGCAAAAGCTCAGACTACTCGTCAAAATATGTAAGGTGCTGAGGCAAGTCCAGAGGGGAGGGCCCAAAATTGATAAACCACCCCGAGATGGGCAAATCAAAGGACAAAACTGAGGTGATATCAGTATATGTAGGAAAGCATTGGAGACATCCATTTTGGTCATCCACAACCACGGAGAAAACACCCATTTCAGGATGAGAAAAGACTCCACAGATGCTGGCTAGTCACAGGATCTTGAGGAGGAGGGAAGGAAATGGGGTAAGGAAAGACGAGAGGTGGGGATAGAAACTGGACAACAAATCCTTCTGACAGAACCTGAAGCACCCATAGATCGCCAATGTAGGAACACCAGCAATGAGAAAACTCAAACAGCTGAGCTCCAAATGGACAAAAACCCACAGGGTAGTCAATAGTACTGCAGGCAACGGGGTGCATCATCAAGGAAATTGACGAGAAGTACCCCAATTAGAAGGAATAGGTAAGGGCTGGGAAGGGGAAGGTTGGGAAATGGCTCTAGAGTTTTCAGGACCATATCAAAAATGTAATGCTTCAGAAATGGGGTCATACATAAATCCCTAAGATATGTTGAGGGTAAACAGACCCAAGTTAATACAGCATCACGACCTATGAGGTCCCAACAACAAAGAAACCACATATGCAATGCAAGAGCCAAAGAAAACAAGCGGGCTAAAGTGGAGGAAAGAAGGGTAAGGATATCTCCATAAAGCCCCTCAGGATTTCTGTGGAGAGCCTCAGATAGGAGGTGTATGGAAGAAAAATACTGTAACAGATTTGTAAGGGTAAGACACAAGCAAGAATATTGGGCATGGGTACAACTGACAAATAATTTGGGAGCAGCCACCATATAGACAAGAAGGAACCTAACAACTGCTGGTCTAAACAGTGATAGTCAGCATGATGGTAGAAAAGTGTGAACTGATCTGAAGGAGGTGAGATATGCTAATAACCTCGCTTAAATGCGAGGCAAAGTGATCAGCATGAACATAAATATCAGGTGAGAGAGAGGAAAAACCCCAAAAAAGGTTGGGAAGATTGTTCATGCAGTAAGGAAGGACGAGGAGCATAAGAAATAGGAGAAAGAGATAAAACATAAGAGACCTCAGACACAAAATCCATAAAGACTGCATTGGACCTGGTAGAGTCATCGGTTTGGAAATAGAAAGGAATGGCAAAATCTAAAGGTGAAAAAAGATGATCACAGTCCTTGTCAGTCTGCACAGGAACAGCCTGATCTGGAGGAGCTTGGGCGATGTCCGAGGACAAAGGTTGTTCCATGTAACATTCAATCTCCCAAGGTATAAAACAGATAAATCCACCAGCAGGTTGCCCACACCTGAGGCCTGAGAAAAAACACTGGTTGCTGGTATAACCCCTGAAGTGGTAAGGTTAACTTCGGGAATTCATTGCACAGAAAAGTTCACCAAATTCAACTGGAGAAAATAAGATCACTAGAATTAACTGATAAATACTAATAGAAGAAACAGACTGAATGAAAGCAAATTAATTTATAAAACAACCACTTCTTGAGGAAACAAAGTCAAACATGAAGCATTAAACAAACAAAAGAACAAGTCTGAACACAAGCACTGCCAAACGAGAAGTGATGTCATGCTCATATTGGTGAGGAGGTAACACATGATGATTTGCATGAGAGACATGTTGGAATCTTGCAATTCCAACAGGGGGGAGCAGAAGGCTTGTAGCATGCATAAAGAAAAAGTTCATATATAGAGGGCAGCGCTGAACGAGAACAGATAATATTGTGAGGAGAAGTAAGTACCATATCAGAATGTCTGTTTTTAACCTTCACCAAAATTTTATTATTTTGTAACTGTATAAAACGTTTAAAATACATGATATCTAAAAATTTATTTCACTTTCAAGCAGTTTAAATTCCTCATTAGACTGTTTAGTTAATGATTTAAATAACTGATTTATTTGTCTTATTTAAAAATTAAGAAGAACCTTTTAATTTTATGATACTGTCTTGAATACCGTAACTTTCGGATAGAAACTTTAAAGTTAAAAAAGTGAGGAAAACTTAACCATTTACATGTAGTTGATGTTGAGATTATACAATCAGTTTCTCAGTATTTCTAACAAGAGATAATATCAATGTACCATGTCTTTGTTTAATAGCTTTTGAAATTGGATTTATTTTGAGGAGATCTTAAATATAATATGAATTTTACTAATAAGTAGTATAACTACAAAGAATTGAAAGAACAAAATGAAAAAACCCAGAAGTAAACTAGACTAAAAAATAAGAACCTCTTACTTCCATTAATAACTTAAGCAATAAAATAGCCATTATCTTTCTCATTAGAAAAGTCAATCTTTAGATGAAAAAGGAAGATAGACTTGAATCTGATAGAGGTAATGGTTAGTGGAAGTTACATCAATGTACCGTTTAAAGAAATCCAAACTCAGTTGATCAGACATTTGTGAAGAGTAACACAAAGGCTACCTGCACTAGTCATCCCTTATTTTGAACTAAAAAACTAGAGGGAAATAGTCAACAGAACCCACTGCCACCTCTAGGATTACTCTAATCAAATATCACTCTTATAATGCACTCACAGCTCCAAAGTGTAGATGACAACCCTGTAGCCTCAGATCCTTATTCTAGCAAGTTAACCACTAAGACACACACAGCTTCACATACAAGAGACAAGCAGTTTAAACCCTTTTGTAAGAGAAGGTGCAGAGGAATGTGTGAACTACATGAAGTGCCAAGATAAAATGTAACAATATTTTAAAGATTGTGTAAGTGTAAGGCAGACATCAAATGGAGGTAGTACTATGTGACAGAAGATAATTATCATAGAGATTCTATCAGTAAGATGTGACTGTATACATAATGTATTCACCCAAAAGAACATTTACACAAATTTACACATTGCAAATGGAAGGCAATAACTAAGAAAGGAGGAAGTAGAGAAAGGAATGAAAATGATCTAGTTAATGGTATGAACAAATATATATGGCTTAAAATTATAGTAGAGGTACAGTACTGTATCTGAATCTTTGCTTCCCAACTAATTTATGTACCTATATACTTATAAAACAAAAGTACAACAAAAGCAAAAAAGAATTTGAGTAAATGACTAAAATTGTGTAGAAAATAAGAAACAAATATAGTATACACTATTAAAACAATCACATAATATTTCTCAACTGATCCAAACAACATAATGACATAACTACCACAGTAAATGTTTACACTTACCTTCTGAACAAGAGAGAGAAGATGATCAAACTGCTGAACATTAAACTTTGCTGATGCAGCTGCCATAATGGTGTGAATATTGTCCACTATGTGCATATTCTGGCCCTCCTATAATGAAAAAACATTGTTGTATCAACACTCTATAAACTTTGCTGATGCAGCTGCCATAATGGTGTGAATATTGTCCACTATGTGCATATTCTGGCCCTCCTATAATGAAAAAACATTGTTGTATCAACACTCTATAAACTTTGAAAAAAAAATCCTTCTTCAAGCTACATGTTACTTCATATGCACTATAAATTATTTAAAAAAAACATTGTTAAGACGACTGAAATCTAGTTAATACATGGCAACAAATTATTTCCTAAGTCTGAAGTGCATAAAAGCATTCTGTAGACAACTATTCAAAACTACAAGTACTAAAACATTGTAAAATACAGTCTTTATGGTGAAAAAAAAGAGAGAAACTAAAGAACAATAGTGTGACTAATGTATCAATACAGAATGCTCACCATTTAATATAAAACTTAATTGTACCTTTTCTTTCTCACTGTTACATATAATCCCTGTGAAACAAGGAGCTATCAACTTTAACATACACATAGACACTAATCTTAAGTTGTTATATGGCAAGGCAAAATCACGGTGCTCAGTGCTTAAAATTGGACAAGAACAAACTTAAAATATTTTATTATCTATTCTGGATGCTCACAATACTGTCACAGTAACTAGTTCAGAAACAACAACAAAAATATTTTATAAGAAACTGCTTCACTGAGCTCAAATCCATCAAATTTAGCTGGCACAAAAATGTCTCCATAACAACTCTTGCACTATTTCGGCAAACAAACAAGAAAGTGTTTACTCTCTAGAAAGTTACATTAGGCTTAACATTTCTTTTATTTTATTGGAATTATTAATTTAAAATATTAATTCATACCTAGAAAAGGGTAATTAAAAATAACTTTAGTAACTGAATTATTATTGTATATATTTCATAACAATAACATGACACTTAAATTATACATGCCTAATCTGACCAGTAATCAAAATAAGATTCCAAGCATTTAATTTGTAAATTTCACACAGAACTATTCAAGGGCTACGTGTCCTAGCCAACCCTAATTTTGAAGTGATGGACTAAAGGAAAAGCAGCGAGCTAACACCATTTACTGCCAATTCATGGGATACTCTAATTGAAAAGTAGCATTTGACTGTCTCTTATAACACATTCAGTACATCAATCTTCAAAAGCACACAGGTAATTTGATATTTTAAATTATGAGTTATATACCTTTTTTCTTGTGTGTGTTTTTTAACACTTTGAACAAACTGTCCATTCTTTGTAAAAATAAAAAACTCCAAAATAATAATGCATTTGAAATATATTTAATTACAAATAGAAGGACTACAGATATTACAAAGTGCATATTTATTTACTTGAATAGTTTATCTATATTTGGATGTTTTGGAATAACCACAGTCAATCTTCAGCATAAAAAAATAAGAGCAAAAAATTATTGGAAATAATGTGGTAGTTATGTGACAAAGTCGTGAGATCTGCACAACATAATGAAGGTTGAGTAGGTTATCCTGAACTGACTTTGGAACCTCATCATGTTGTTACAGTTCATTTTATCACATCCAGGCATGCTCTGTTTGACAACTATAGATCTTGACAATACCCCTGCAGTATAATTTCCACTAAAAAGACTGCTTCATACAATTGTCACATCCAAAGCATATACCTCCTAGCTTTATAATCCATCTAGTGTAAAAGGACGATGGTTTCCCAGCATCTACTTCACCCGTTTGATCGCACAAAAATCCAAATTTTCTGCATCCAGCGACTAGACTGGTATATCTGTGTATTGAATAGCGCAAATAATCATTTCATCATTCAGCTACTGAAGTGGTTGACAGTTAAAAAGGAGGTATGACTGAAAGCCTTGTCCTAGTGAATCTATAAACTTTGGCCTTGTTTACAGGTAGAAGTTCTTCATGATCATGTTGCATACTGCTGCCTGGGTACATGGACACCTTTTGCCACTGACCTTTTTCTTCACGAGTTCTTGCCTGCTCAACGATGCCTCACTTTGTTTAATATAGCTGGGGTATGACTTGTTGTTGGTCTCTTCCTAGGTGACTTAGTGCCCCCAATTGATCCATATTCCTTTGTCTTCCAATCTCATGAAAGTTATAATTTTCCTACATCAAAGATGTATTTCCAACAGGTACTTACTTCTGTTCACATAAATAGATATTCTCATTCAGTGCTGGCCTCTATTTTCAAAAATTTTTTGCATGCCACAAGCCTTTCACTCCCAAGCGCCTCTCGATTCTCATGGTTTAAACAATTCTTGCATGCTAATTATCATGTGAAAAACCTCCACCAATAGTAGTGATATACACCCATGTGACTTATGTGACTCCCTCTGTGCTATTCTGCTTAACTATCACTTCGAGTATAGGCAGAAATGTAAGCACTGGTTAACACTGGGAGGAAGGGTGGGAAGTGTGAGAGAAAGTAAGTACCTGTAGGAAATACATTTTCAGTGTAGGAAAATTATAGCTTCTGCTCACATATATAGCTAAAATTCCACATTGAATAGGTGGAGGGACTGGTGCAAGAGAGAAAGTAGAAGTATCTTTCGAAAGCGTCTGAAGGATACCCTGATGAGGGAACCCTCTAATAAGAAGATTATATGTGAGAGACTGCACAACTTCTGTACCAGGTATACTCTTTGTCTGGATGAAAGGAATTAAGAAACCCAGAGCATGTATGGGACATAGAAGGTCATCTGGATTCGACCAAGAATAAAGGTGGAAGATGGTAAGAAATGAAAATAATGAAAATAATATTCCTCAAAGTGTGGGTTAGTAAAATCAATCCAGAATAAAAAAGAACATATCAAGAAAAACAGCTGAGAAAATTAGATCTGTGCTGGCCAGGAAGGATCAGTTGGAAAAACTGACTCTGAGTGACATGAATGATCAAAATCACTTTGGGAAGAAGAGTGACAAAATAATAAAAACTAGTTATAAACTGGATCTAATCCTGTCAGAATATATCGACAGCCAGGGTGAGTGGATGATGAACTAGAGACCAAAAATAAAAGAGGTAACTTGGAACTGAGAAAGGAGTCAAACACTTCCTGTGGAGGAGTACTCCACAGAAGGCAGAGCCACCAAAAATTTGAAGATAGAGAGGCCACTCCTTGGAGGAAAGAGTGTCAAGACTGCAATGAGGATGAAAGAACCTGGAATACGACATGACAGAATATATATATCAAATGTGTGGGTTTAAAAAGGGAGATCCACTGTCTACCACAAAGTGAACAAAAACAAGAGTCCCCTGGTGAGTGATATAAGCCACCACCATCAAATAGGCGGAATGAAACATGATTAGTCAAATCCGAACAAAAGGAAGAAAGTGAACTAAAGCACGTTGGATTGTTGGAAGTACCCGGGTGTTAACATGGTAAGACCTTTAGTCCACTGTCCTGAAGTCTTCTGCTGATTGACTCAAGTCCCCAACTTTTGAAGATGAGCATTAGGGAAGAGAAACAAATCCGGAAGAGGGGGGAAGAATCGGTAAACACAACAACATAGAGAATGTGTCTCCTGAAAAGATCACAAATGTGCAAGACCCAAAGGGAAAAGTGCTTCCATAGAAGCCACATCCCCCAATGCATTAGAACCTCACTATCTGTAAGATAGTAAACCGTAATGGCTGGGATAACAGACAGCTCCATCTATTGTATTTGAGGAGGAGAATGAATGGTGTTCCAACACTGGTGGGTGATTAAAAAAGACACATCCCAAATAGCTGAGATTGTTAGATAGATAAAAAGAAAAACCTATCCAACTGGAAATCGAACCACCTGAGCTTCTTGTGTAGGAAGCAGATGAGTATGTTATGACCATACCTGTTCATAAGTAGTTAACCGAAGCAAGACATCCAAACAGTGGTGTTAGTAAAATCCCACAAAATTCGGAAATTAGGTAAAATACAGACCACCTGACAAAAGATATATGGAACCAAAAGAAGTTTAAAGAGCAAGGCACAAAACTGGTACCAAATCATGTGGTAAAAAAACCTAAGACAGCGTCTCAAGAAAT